TGAATGGGGGACTGATCTCTCGGTGGGCGGGTGTGTATAGATGTAGGCAGGCAGGCAGGCAGGCAGACAGTCGATTGGTGGCCGTGCTGATTGACAGCAGCTTCTCTCTCTCTGGCTGAGTTTTCCCACCATGCACACACACACGAATGACTGTGGGTCGATCCATCTCTCTCTTTTGACGACTGCGTGCATACGCAGCGCACACACACTTACACTGACGAGCACACACACATGCTTTGTGCGTGTGTCTTTTTCGTTGTTACACGTGGCTAGCTCGGCGTTCCGTTGCTCTATCTGTCACGTGTAATCGTAACTGAGGTGTGTGACGGGTCGATGTGATGACGGTTTTGTTGTCGGTCTTGTGTTCATGTGTCTGTGTGTCTATGTGAATTGATGTGTGTATCTCTGTGTATAAACCGATCGATTGTCTGGCTGGCCGGAAATGATGGTGGCCTAATTTGGCGCAAAGGGGGGGACGGGGCCTCTGCGCGAGTACATGTGACGGACGGGTGCGGTGACGGACCAGGTGTTTCTTTCTACGAGCAGACGTCCGTGTGTTCAGATCAGACAGAGAGACTGTACGTTGACTGATGCGTGACGTCTGTGTTCAGCCACTGACTGATGGATGGATAGGTGCCATGTTGGTCTCTGCGCTTTGCGTAGTGCTGCAGCTGCCGACGAGTGTCTCGTTGGCGGTCAGGTCGCTGCCACGGACATTCGTCATCACCTGCAGTGGCTGAGCAATGAGCAGGGACCAAAGGTACTCACCGAGGGAAGGCAAGGCGTTGAGCTGAACCGCTGATCGACTCATTTATCGAGAGCGTACCGTATGTCATCATCTGTCGACCATATGCATCAAACAAAAGTCATGTTCCAAGCAGCCCCAAAAATATGACCGATCATCGAGTAATCTCTTCTATGCTTAATTGGCACAAGACCAAAAATATACCAACATCACACCCTCAAAACTGCAAGCAGTGACTTGACGGCAAATTCCTCCCAATACCCATAGCCGTCCATACATTTTCTGTCAGTCAGATGAGGTGCCCGTCACACCAAGGTCCAAGGGAAACTGAACGGACACACACACACACATACACACACACACACACGGAGCGAGAGAGAGAGAAGGAGAGAAAGAGAAACACAGACACGGACAAACATGAGACAGCCAGAGATGGGCCCGTTCTCGTTTCCATGTTTCGTGCACACCTGGTTATGAGGAGTGAGTAACATGACAGGATAGACAGGCGAGATGATGAGCGCCCCCATCATTGCACTATACAGCGACTCCTGCGCCACCAACCGAGACACGATGCGCCTGACCTGCACCGGCAGGTAGGGATGCACTACCAACCCGGTGACAGCGGAGGTGATGATCATCGCCACCACGACGACAATCGTGAATAGGGAGAACCGGTTGAAGTCCGCCTCTCCCAGTTCATTGAATGAGGCGTACAGGTAGCCTGAGGGGCTGCAGCAGCGGATGTACCAGATGTACAGCCAAACCTGGATCGGCCCCAACACCTGTTGGTTGTGTCACAGATAAGAAGAGAGAAACATCGACCTGCCTGTCTCTGGCATTGATTTGCCCTCCCACCGACCGACCTCTGTGTAGGCCTTAATCAGAAAGACGCCTGCCATTCATTCGTCCATCAAAGAAGAGCGGCGTGTCCAGATGCAGTGTAGTGTGAGCTGGCCGATCGGTCTGCTTACCAAACGTCGCCATGACGAACTCACACGCCTTCTCATCCATGTCATACACCGATATCTCTTGCCCACTGTGAGTCCGAAACGAACTCGCCACCGAGGCCCTCTTCTGCGCGGTGACCGACGGCCTGCTCGTTTTGGTGGTGGCGGTCCTCCCCTCCCCTGCCATCACACTCGATGTGGGTGACGTCATGGACACTCTCGTGTGCTGTCTGCCGCTGCCGTCTTTCTTGTCCTCCTCATCATCGGGTAAGAATGACACATAGGACCGGAATCTCTTCTCCATCGACACGGCCGACTGCTGTTGCTGCACCTGCTGTCAAGATGGGGCAAGAGGCTTGGGGTCAGGGGGCACATCACTGTCTCCCCAGATGTCGTTAGCGGCTTCTGCTGCTGCTGCATGACCATCAGGTGTGGCAACCGTCTCCACTGCAACAGCCATGTGGAAACGGTCGACATCACCTCCGGATGCTGCGACATTGGCATCTGCTGGGTTCGGGGCCTTCCTGTCCTTTGTCGTTTTGTCGGTCGCACTGAAGTGCCTGGATCTGAAGCTGTCTTCGTGAAGGTCCTCTCCGCGAAAGCATCTTTTGAAGCACGGCATGATGAACGCGATGCAGGCGCCGAGGTAGTTGCATGCGCTCGATCGGTCGGGGTCCATGGCATCACCGATCGGATACATGAGCCTGCCTATCACGCCTTCGGTTGCAAGAGACTTCACCGCCTTGTTGTGGATCTGAATCCGACACAGGGGAGACAATGTGTCTTCGTGTGTGTGAATGGATGTCTTTGTACTGACGAGGATAACGGACAGGCCCGGCCACGCGAGCAGGATGCAGCGTTCTACCAAGGTAATTCCAAACATCCACGGCGAAATGCCCGGGAACAACACCGACAAATACCTGCCCGGCGGTGCACAAAGAGAGAGACAGAGACACTTCGCTTTGCTTCTGCAGTGTTCTGTCAGCAGACGTACATACATTGTTGTGACCTGCATCCAGAACAACAAAGACGCATTCGTTAAATCAAACAAGGCAGCTTAGCTTTTCTTCATTTACACATACCATGTCGGGCAGCATTGACCCGGCTATCTCCATCTTTCGGCGCGTGGCCCGCAGGATGCGCCTCGCCATCAGCACGATCTCACGACCAAAGATAGGAAAGGCGAAGACAAGAAGGCCGTGCAACCTGCATGCAACGAGACAGCAAGAGTCAGCGATACGAGACACGCTTTGTTTGATGCATGTCATTCTATGTGGGCATACACACCAGGTCATGTTCGTGTCTGCCACGACGACGATGACATACGTGTAGAGCACAGCAGCCAGCCACAGCTGAGCAAGAGATACAACGGCGACAGACACACACAGAGACAGAAGCAATCAGCCGGTGTGACTGTGCCAGCGAGTCTGGCTCACCCGCTCAGTGCTCACCCACTGGCTCACCATTGGCGCGAACATGCACACGATTGTCTTCACGAACCAGCGCTTTCGGCCCTGGGTGCACGTACGGCACACAGTCAGTCAGATTGATGGACCGAGGGCAGACAGGTACATGTATCATAACATCGATCAGACATGCTTACATGTTTGTCGTTGAAGTATCTCCTTCGCCAATCGGGGAGAGCAAAGAGGACACAGAAGCACTGAACGCCAAAAATCGGAACTGAACACGGATGCATGACTCAATGTGCAGTGGTGTCTATCGTGATGTCGTGGGTTGTGTTGCCCACTTCCGACGAGGAATGTGTGTGCGGGCAGGCCCGTCTCATTCAGGATGGCACTGATGATAATGGTCACCAGAGGGCCCAGCATCCCAGGGGCGAACCCAGCGACAAATGTCTTCCACGTGAATCGTTCACCGAGCAGGGCGGGGATCCACGTCGCCGGTAACACGCCTATCATAAGGCGGAACATAGGTAGATACCCTGTGCAAAGCCAGAGCAGACAGACAGACAGGCAGACAGGAAACAGCATTCACTTCAGTCCACACCCACACCCTTGTCGCACACCTACCCCAAAAGTAAGCCATCTGTGTCTCCCACGCCTCCTGTGTTTTCTTCAGTGGCATCGAGAGCCACGCCACGCCCACGATGATCGGAAGAATAAACAGCATGAACACTCGCAGGCCGATGTGGGTCCACGGCTCCGGGACTTCCTCCCCGAACACCCACGCCAATAGCAGGGAGGACTCACCAGACGACCGATGGAACACAGACGTGAGTATCTCTCTCACCGTCGAGCCTAGCGATGCTCGCGATGCTCTACGCACGGCGGCGTGCGCCGAAGGCGTCGTCACAGATTTCGGCGACACGGCAGATTTCGGAGAAGAGACGTCTGACTTGAGGGTGGCCACTGGGTGAGGTGGGGCTCCTTCGGTCCGTTTTGGGGAGATGTCGTGGTCAACGGGCTCGTCATCGACGTCACCGTCCACACCAGGCGTGTACTTCATCATTGTTCCACTCAGCGCGGATCCTACCACCTCAACGGACTCGTCGGCGTCATCTCGCCTGTTGACGCCTTCGGATGGATGCCGAGCTGGATGCGATTTGTCCTCCATGGGGGCAGTGGCTCCGGGGAGGCTGAATTGCGCGTTCATGCATCAGAGAAGCCAAACTGAACGGGCCCAAGCTCGCCAAAAGTCTCGACTGCAAGCTTGTGAAAAAACGTCACGGATTGGCGCCCTGTTTGGATTGCTGGGCAGGCGCTTTCCTGTTCTTGTCAAGCAGCGGTGCCGTCGGCATAGCGGTTGCTCTCGACGGCCTGACTTGTCGGGATGTCAGGCAACGAAAGCATGGTTGAGAGGCTGAGGCGGCGGAACCAAGCTAGCAACCAAGGCGGCAACGTCAGCCTGAGGGACCGGCAGGGCGCTCGGGAGGAGCGCAACGCCATCGTGATTGAGGACTCATCAGATGAGGAGAGCGGCAGTGCTGCGATGGCCGGCAGCAGCAAGCGGCGGAGGATGGACAGCAGCCGCCCTGCCAGTGCGAGGAAGATATGTGTCATCTGCCAGGATGACTTGAATGAACAACATGAGCTGTGCTTGCAGCTGGGGTGCGGCTGCACACATCACTGGGAATGGTGAGGAAAGAGAACGAACGCAGACACAGGAGGAGGGAACATTCACGTCTGTCTGTCTGTCTGTCTATCGGTCGGTCGGTTTGTGTTATGTTTTTCCGTCAGTCTGAGCAACTACTTGAAGTTTGAGATGAAGGAGCAAAAGGTGCCCTTCACGTGCCCGACCGTCAAGGGGGACGGTCCTACTTCTTCCTCTTCTTCTTCTGCTGCCGCTGCCGCTTCTGGTGGTGGTAGTGGTGGTGGGATCGTGCGGTGCAAGCAGATGCAGGCCAGCGAGGTGCAGATAATGCTCGAGGAGGTAACGAAGCACGTCATGACACACACGAAGAACCTGCCACGCACGGAATGGTTCTCTGTCTGTTCCGTCAGGCTGATTTCATTCGCTACTCGGAGCTGCTCATCGAGAGGCTGCAGGGGACTCAAGTATGCAGTAAGTGGACACACAGAACACATGGCAGGCGAAAAACGCTTGTGCGAGTGAGTGCGTCATTCTCTCTCTGTCTGTCTGTCTGTCTGTCGGTTCTCCTTACTTCAGCTGGTCCCGACTGCGGCTATCGTGCGTTCCTCGGCGACGACGCGAGACTGCGGGAGGAGGGAGTGGGCTTCCCATGCCCTAAATGCGAACAGATGTAGGCTACGCAGAAAGACAGACTGCATGACCCACCTCACCACGCACCGAATGTGTTTATGTCGTTATGTGATGGTGGGCATTTGTGTGTGCAGGTGTCTGGTGTGCGGTCTGAAGGTCCACAAGGGCATGACGTGTGTGCAGGCCAAGGCCACCCAGGACACCAACTCGTCGGATCGCAAGAACGAACAGGCATTCAAAGACTACCAAAACGTGAGCCACTAGAGCAGCCGATGCAGCCGATGCATCCACACACAACAGCCGGCTCTAATCTCGTTTGTTGTGTGTGGTTTGGGATTTGGTGTGTGCAGGAGAACAGGACGCGCAAGTGTCCTGACTGCGGCGCGGTGATAGAGAAGGTGGAGGGCTGCGACAAGATGCGGTGTCGGTGTGGTGCCAAGTTCTGCTACCAGTGCGGCGCGCGCAATGCCACCTGTGGATGCACATCCAAGTTCCACGGCTTCTTCGACACCGAATCGGTACACAGCGAACAAACCCATCCCAGCACCCATCCTCCACTCCACCTGTCATACGCTCCCTGTGTAGGTCCGTAACAACTGGGCCAACTGGCCCCCCACGCGGAGCACCAACATGCCCCGTGGCGGTGGCGGCGGTCCCGACATGGCCAACTTGGCCGCCCTCCTGCAGCAGCAGCTCAACGACCTGCCCAACATCGCCAGAGCCAACATGCCCCCTTACTTCCAACCCTACTTCCCCAACGCATTCGGCGGCCCCGCTGCAGGTGCAAATGGCGCCGGCGGTCCACACGGGGGTGCTCACCCACACCACTCCTCTGCGGCGGCGGCGGCGGGGGCTGCTGCCGCTGCTCGTGCCCATGCCAATGCCGGTGGGCGCTCGTCGTCAGCTCGCGGAGGTGGAGAGCCCAGCATGTTCGATGAGATGTTTGCGGCGTTGGTTGGTGCGGCCGGGCCGCCTCGTGGACCGGCAGGGCGGCAGCGGGGGCAGGGTGCCAGGGGCTACTTGGGGTAGGGGCATTGGACGGTTGCTTGCTGGGTCATGTCATCATCAGGGAGTTTTGCCTGCCTTTTTGTGTTGTGCTGTTTGGAGGGCCCGGCAAGATGTGGTGGATGGATGGATGTGAGCCCTTGTCTATGTATTGATACATTTGTTCCATTTTGCAGGCAATTCGCAGACATGAACAGCCCAGCCCGGCCACACGCTGAGTTGCTTTTTCGCCGCACGATGGCGTCAAGTGTTCGCTGTGTTATATATATGCGTATCTATCTGTATCTACTACACGTGTGCTGCCGTGTGCTTCCATGTGCGTGCATTTTGCACATGACCGTCTCGAGTCGGTGACGTGACGCCATTCATCAGCGTGATGGCAATATTTGGAATGCGCGTGTGCGGGTACATCAGAAGAAGTCACATTCATCGATAAAGGAGTCATCCACACAGCACAACACAACACAACACAACACACAAATACGCACAGGGCACAAACGAACGACAAATAATACCTACCCAGCTTCGCCTCGTGGACACATCCATCCATCCGTCCGTCCGTCCGTCACATCACCAGTTCTTGATACCATGTGCAAAGAAGCTCCCCTCGTCCAGCCAGTACTCCCACTCGGTCATCAGCCCGCTCAGGTGCCCCACCTCACGCCCACCACCGCCAACATAACATGCACTCCCATGCGCAGACGGCAGCGGCCGGCTCACCGAGTAGTCCGTCGGCACAAACGACCGGACCATCACGCTGCCCGCCACACACAGCACCGTCAGCCCGCCTTTGCACCCGTCATTGTGACCGATAACACCAGCAGGCATGGCGCAATCGCCCGTGTACTGCACGCACACGTCGTACCTTGGCCCGCTCTCTAAGTGGGAGGGGACGGAGTCGTGCGCCACGGCGACTGGCGTGCCGAGCACGTGGGCGAACGAGGGGGGCCGAGAGGGTGAGGGCACCGCGGTGGTGTTTTTTCCCTCGAAAGGCAGGAAGCGGCCCAGCACCGACACCACACCCTGAGAGCGGGGCTTGCCATACATCAGCAACACACCAGACGCTCTCGACCGGATTTTCTTGACCTGACCCACACAAGCGAGATGCACTCTCTGCCTGGGACTGTGTGTCTGTGTCTGTGTGTGGTGTTCCCTCCCTCCTCACCTTTGCGAGCACGCCCCCAGTCGCCCCCGCCCAGTAGCCGCTGACGCCCCCCTCCTCTCTCCATGCAGCCGCCCTTTCGCAGCAGAATACAATGGCCCGCCCGAGCCCGCCGTCATGCAGCACGGCAAAGGAGCTGTCGCCACAGATCCACTCCACCACACCGCTCCCCAAGGCGCTGGACTGCCAGCTGTAGACGACGTCATTGCCGTCGCCATCGGCCATGCGGGACGGCGCGAGGCATAGCAGATGCAGGCTTGCATAAGGGGCGTGGTGTTGTGATGCGTCTGCAGCGTGTGCGTCATACGGTGTTCGGGAGAGGCCGAAGAGCCATCCCCCGTCCTTGAGCGACGCCGCCCAGCCCCGCCAGACGTGCGCGTCACCAGCACCAGCACCAGCCAACCGGGTCGTGCAGGTCACCCACCCTCCCGCACCCACACACGCGTGCACCGCCTGCTTGCCGATGAGCAGGAGGTTGCCGCCACCGAATGAGTAGACCTTCCCGCCCTTCCACGCCTCATCGAGAGCGGCTGGAAGATGATCCGGCGGCGACGCTGCTTCACCATCACGATCACATGGCTGCAGGGGCAGGAGGTCCCCTCGGATGGTCGCGTGGAAGGCCAGACGAGCTGCGGAGTTGAGGAGGGTCTTGGCGGTCTGTGGCGAGAGGGAGGGGGTGAAGGGGGCAAGGGCGAAGGAGGGGAGGGATGCGGGGGTGTGGGGGAAGAGGGACACCAGGCTGGCCTGCGATGTCGCGTCGATCAACACGTCACGCGTCCACATCCACACTGAACACACACACACACACACACACAGACGTCCAGGCAGTGAGTGACTGTGTCAGTTGCCCCTCGCTCCACCAAATGCGCACCTGGCATATAGTGCATTGCCGCATCAGTGGGCACACAAAAATACGCACACAGACGGAAAAACTCAGCCAGCAGCAGAGGCGACACCCGGAACGTCCTCACAATCTCATCATCCGCCCTCGCGGCCGCCACACTCTCACACTCTGCCGGCCCTCCGTGAGCGGCAGCAGCACCTTCCCCCTCCCTCTCGCCTGTGGCAGGCTCAGAGTTGATGTATGACACGAGCAGAGAGAAAGCCCGGGAGAGGGAGCGGGAATCGCCGTCCCATTGATCCAAGATCTGGCAAGACAACAGCCACACGCAAGGGCAGGCGCACACAAATAGATAACTGGGAAGTGATTTCCATCCATCAGCTGACCTGCACGGCGCCATCCTCTGTCCGGCTGTGCTGAAAGAGGGGCCTGTCAGTGGTGGAGAGCACCCTGGACAGCCAACTCGTCGAGAACAGGGGGGACTCCCGCGACACGCTGTACCGCTGCTGCCGCACCTCAAACACCACATCTACGCTCGCTGATGCCTCCGACGCCTCTGAAGTCGCCTTTGCGTCAGATTCCATTTTCTTCTCACCCAGCTGCTTTAGGGTCTTCCATGAAACCGCTGCTGCTTTAGCGAGCTTGGCATTTGCAAAGAGTCATCAGAAAACGGCGTACGTTCGGCCCTCGGGACAGCTGCATTGACACATCATGGCACAAGTAAGGGAAAGGAATGCCAGACTGAGTGAATGCAACGATATGATGGCTTCTCTCAGGCGGCGGGCAGCCAGCCATCTCTCGACGAGCAGCTCGTACAACTTCTCGAGCTTCACGCACAGGTGAGGTCTCACCATGTCCGAAATTGCATGCACAGATCACGTCACCCTGAGCTGATGTGATGTACGTATGCGTGTGGCGTTTCAGGTCGGAGAGCAGCTCGCCCACGTGCAGCAAATGGACCCTGCAACCATCGCCAAACAGGTCGGTGCACCCGCACCAGAGTCTGCGCACACGTCTGCATGTTCCCTTCCGGCCTGCCTGTCGTGTGCAGACTTGCTCCCCAGTGGCCCTCGGCCTCCAGCAGAAGCTGGCATTCGCCATGACGGTGGCCGCCAATGCCCTCAATCAGTCAAAGGCGGCCTTGTCAACAGCCACAGACACCACCAAGGCACTCGATGACCGAGTAGGCACAACACACACTGGAGGGTCCAGTTCGTTCATTTCCTACCTGCATCTGTCTGTGTGTGTGTGTGTGTGTGTGTGTCAGCGTCGTGAGAAGGACGGCGCCACGTTCCGACTGGTGTACGAGAGCGGCAAGCGGCCCACCAACCAGGGCCCCGCCGCCCTGCGCATGTCACGAGAGGAGCTGTCGCACCTCTTCGGCCACATGCAGCCGTGGGACCTCAGCCGCCTTCGCCTGGCCATCGGCAATAAGGTCTTCCTACAGGCGGCCAAGCAGTACACGGACATCGTCATCGACAGCTCGACGCCATCGGTCAGCTGCATGTGGGAGCGGATGCCGCTGTCGGCGGCCTTCGAGTGGGGCACGCGCATGCCGCATCTCAAGACTGTCGTCATCCGCCATCTGCCACAAAGCTTGTCATACGGCTGGTCATATACGGCTGCGTATAGAGTGTTGGGCGAGGTGGTCGACGGCCATGCCAAAGCCCGCAGCGAGCTGCACGAGTTGAAGCGGCGGGAGGCGGAGAGAGAGGGCCGACAGCCACCCAGGGAGGAGGGGACGTTGGAGTCCATCAGCTTCATCGAGGCGAATAGACACTGTAGCGGTTGGCCCGCAGCAAGCCGATTGCCCTCTCTTGCTGCCAAAGCCACCACCTCAGCCCCCTTCACCCCCGTTCTCCATTCGCTCACCCACCTCAGCGGCCTTCGCCCTCGCGTCTGCGACTTGATCGACAACCACAAGTGGCAGATGCCATCGCTGCGGCACGTCACGGTGCAGGGAGAGGTCGATCGGCGCACCGAATGCGGATTCCTGAAGACGTCGCGGTGTCTGGAGAGCGTGGACCTCGGTCAGCGTGAGGACTTGCCACGCGTGCTTGAGGGGTGCCAGTTTTCGTGCCTGAAGAGCATCAGTACCGTCGAGGTCGGAAGGCACGGCGAGAACTGCGTGCGCCGGCTGCAGGTGCGAAGGCAGACCTGACACATACATAGTGACCAGGGAGAGTAGGTGCCATTCTGTTTTCCTTGTGTCGTTTGCAGGCTGCCCTCGCATCTGGTGGCTGCACCCAACTCCACTCGATCAGCATTCGCCTCGTCCCTTACGGGCTTGCCGGCGAGAGGGGAGTCTTCGTCAACGCAGATACAGTCGCCTCCCTGAGCGCCATCGACAGTCTCAGGACCTCGGCCGTCGCCGCATCCACTGCAGCCATCGATGTGCGGTTTGGGAACTTGCACATTCAGCATTTCATATTCTGCTTGTCGCTTCTCCACGAGAGCCCTGCCCCTTCCCTCGCACCCACCTTTGTCCAAGACACACTCTGCCAGCTCGCCGCGGCTGCAAAGACCATCGTATGGGAGCCTTCTGCAGCTCACCTGATTGCCCCCACGGACATCAGCGAGACAGCCAAGCACCTCGCCGCCAAGCTGCGATTCTCTCAAGCCCATCTGCTGCGCCTGTCCCATCCTTGGGGCGCGGGCGCAAACACCGCAGCGCCCGCTGCGTCGTCCCCTTTGTGGTCGCTCATCAGCGACTTGTCGGCTGAGGCATTCCCCGACACGCTGACCGAGCTGAGGGCTACAGGACGATTTGGCTGCGAGGCCGCGCGGCAGTTGGCGGCGGCAGGCAAGATCAAGAATGTGCGGACCCTCGATGGCTGGTACACACCCGTACCTGCGAGTCACGTGGCGGGGCTGCTGGCGGCCATGGGCGGAGAGAAAACGATCTCCACACTGAAGGTGACAGTCGAGGGAGAGGGACAGGGGCTGTCGTGCGGCAGTGACCCCGAGGCTATTCCACACATAAGGGACATCTACGTGGATTGCCCGACCGGTAAGATAGCGGGCATATACAGCACCACCATGTCCCCTTCACCCGCCTCTCTCTCTGTGCGTTTGTATGCAGTGCGCGATGAGGCAGCATTGGATGAGGCCAATGCTGCCTCGTTTGTCCATGCCAGTCTCACCTCGTGTCTGCACATTCGCGGTCTGAAGAAGCTGACGATCCAGTGGGGCTGGCACCTCTTCAGGGAGCCTGCAGGGCACTTCCGAGAGCAGATGGAGGCCCTCTGCCCCACCGGCACCATGGGCGGCTTCCGCATCACAGTGCGCCGAGACAAGACGTGGCAGAAGTGGACGGTCATCGCAAGCCGAGCGACAGCAGAAGAGGTGAGTGGGTGGGCTTCTTCGCTACCGTGACTGTCCGTGCCACGCGTGTGTTCTTTGACGAATGCGTGCAGGATGATGAGAGTGAAGAAGATGATGACTCGGATGACAGAGCCGCACTCTGTCTCTCCGAGTGGTGGCAGGCAGGTTTTGGTTCCGCGTGTCGTCGTGTCCGTGTCTGACATGATCCGATTCGAATCCTTTTTGACGTTTGTTTATGCAACGGATCGATGATGTCTGTTTTCATGTTGCATTCATTCATCGGTATACCACATTGCATTCACCAGCCTCACTCACACCAGCGTCAGGTGCATGAACCAAAACACAGCAATCAATACATGCGTCGCGTCTGCTGGCGTCTGCCACACATGAAAGAGGCCAGAACGCCCACTTATCCTCC